AAAAAGCTTACACTTTCACGGTATCTATGTTCAATGAAGATATCAGATCGTTTAACTCAGTCGTTAGAGTACGATCCCCAAACTTATTTTCCCACATATCACCCACCATCTTACAGAAATTTTTGATGCGCCCTTACTTTTATCCTCCACCGCACCTCGAAAAGCCAATCTAGGCTCTCCATCAACAAGATAAAATATTTTCTCTCGATCATCTCTGTATAATATGGATGTCAGATTCTTGAGGCCAGTGGTTGGTGTCCATCTATAGCGATCCTACGTTTTAGAGGCCTTAGGCGAATATCCTAAATGAGCCTTCTACTTTATATGCATATTTATGTGATTCTTTTTTGGGTAAGTTAAAAAAATATTATATGAACTCAAATTCACAATTATAACATAAAAGAAACAATCAATATGTAATTTACACAATAACTTTATAAAATGCATCAAAATATCACTTAAACATTACTTAGATAGTGTTTAGTGCTTCTGCTTGCTGTTTCTGATGCTCATGACACGTTTTGGTATTATAGAGGAAGTCAATTCCTTCCATTCCAGGTCGTAGTAGGACTCTTTTGAAGATTTTTCTGTTTGTGGCAGTTTGAAATGACTTGAATGAATGTCATCTGGTATGAGGCATAGGAAGCGTGCAATGTAAAACCTGCCCATTGCTTTGCAGGCTTGACATATGGGTTGGGAACTTCACTTTGATTTCTAACAATAAATCTCTAATATTATATGCTCGACAAAATATCATTCTTCATGATTGCAAGGCCCTTTCACTCAGTAGCCAAAGAAAAGCCCTCATTTCGCCAGTAGGTTACCTGCTCCAAAGTTTAAAGACAAATAAATATACCAAGTTTGAAAACAAAAATTTCAGAAAATATTCCAAGTCATGCGGCATAAATTAATTAACCAAGATAACTTACAGCAAAACGGCACCAAGCATCTCTACATGATGGGTCTCAGATTCTTGAGGTCGCAGGGTGTCACTTTCAAAAATATCACTAGCCAGGAATTGGACATCCAAGGAATCTATTTTCTTGGTAAATTTAAATTGTAGGGCAAAAACGCTCAACTTGTCATTATACCTATCGAAGCTGGACAAAAGAAGGCAGAGTCTTGCATCTTCTAGCTTCACAAGCCGATAATTGTTCGGTGTAAGGAATAAAGGAGGTATCCTATCTGTCGGCAGCATCACCCGGTTTAGGGTCGTCACACAACCAAAATCAGACGACAGCAACTGCACTAGTATATGCGGATGAGGGTACGGTTGTTCACACTCAGAGTCAGAGTCAAAGTCCGAGTCAGAGTCAGGCTCACCATAACTAAAACTGAAGAGTATAAATTCCCCATCAGCACCGTCTGCCACGAACGTTCTTCCTATTGTATTATAAGGCAAAGGGCCGGACAAGAAAGAAGAAGGGAGTGCGCTCCATCCTTCGTCGGGCTCAGCAACATCGAATCGGTAGTAGGAGGGTGAATTTTCACTGGTGCATAAGATGTTTGATCCAGCCACCAAGTAACAAAATTCCCGAGGACCAGCAGGTCCATACGTTCTATTATAGTCCTGAAAAACTGGCGGGTCTGGAAGGGGGGACCAACGCTCGATAATGGGATCAAGTACTTCGAAATACGGAGGACCCCCATAACCAGTACCAGAATAATTGATAGATGATTGTATGGGATAACCAGCTAAAGCATACAGCTTTCCTTCCACCTCTACGAGCAGGGGTTTCGCTTTCCCTTCAATGAAACTCCCGAAGGGGCTTAGGCTTTGATTACGAGTCTCAAACACATGGATTTCTGTACATGGACATGGCACGAATCCGCCTAATTTCGGGTTATATCTGCCTTCCTGGGTAGCAACTACCGGGTCATACACGCCTATGGTGCCACCGGCCAAAAGAATTTTGGATCCAAAGACTCCGCAGCCCATATTACGAGGAAGATCCTCGCCGGATGTGTAAGCCACTTGCCGTAACTTCAGTGAGCACCCTGACCACAAAGAAGATGATAATGCGCTCAACCCAATGGCTTTAATAGCGTAAGTAAAGTAGCCATCGACCCTGTGCTCGGCGAAACATAGGTAGAGAGACTTGTCATCATCGTCACCTTTCCAGCTCTCTTCTTGGACTTGGCTGCCCGTGTCTGCCGCCACTTCCCTCTCCTCCTCGAGAGTTAGCCTCGCTTTTTTCATCTTGTTTTTCTTTTATTTTCTTCTCGGGCTCGCTCGCTTGCTTCACTTGGATTCGGATATATTTATTCTCCTGTGTCTGGTCGTATACATACAACCAAAGCAAGCACCGCCGTCGACTTCTCTACCTCTCTTTTTTTCTTGCTCTCTCTCTCTCTCTCTCTATATATATATATATATATATATATGTATGTATTTTTGTTGTGTACACATGTGTTTCAGTATTAGGGTTCAGGCCTTCTCTTTTGTTGACATGTTTTTCCTTCTGTTTTTATTTTTTTGGTTTTAGTTCACAATATTTCCTTCTTCTTCTTTTTTTTTTTTTTTTTTTTTTTTTTTTTTTTTTTTTTCT